ACATTACAGAAAATGTTCATGTATGTGATACTGATTAGCATATATGTACATCATATGATTTTCATTGCAAATCAAGTATAATTTCATTTTCCCTTTTTAAGGAATCATCATTTGTTTGGAAACTGAATGTTGAAATTAGTTAATCCTGTCAGTGTCAGTGAAAGTAGGAACTAGAATCTGTCCATTTTTTCTAATATGTAAGGACATGCTCTGTAATTTGAACTATAATGAATTGCCTTCACATTGTTAATGGTATTTTACTGAAGCTGAAGAAGTTGGTATTTGAAATTGATAGTCACACCCAGATGCACAAGATCTTGAAAAAAGTGGAGTAATAATAAGTTAAATTGATTTTGGTTAACTCAAAGTTTGATGTCATTTCACTTGCATTTAACATGATAACTTCCCTACATTTATATCCACAAACAATCATTTCTTACTTAGTGTAATTCAATATGTGAGTGTTACAGATCGGTATTTCTCTACACGGTTATTGATATTGTCACAGCTTGAGAGTTGACATACTAATATCTATCTATGATAATCTTGTAATACTCATTTGTTTTTCTTCATACTATCATACTATCTATGTATGACAATGTTGTTATTATTGTTTTAGGCTAGTGAAAATTAGATAGACATATATATTATCTGGATGCTGTAAAGCCTAGAGTAGCACTCCCATAAACAATGTGACTCATTGCTTATTATTTCCTCACTGTATCCTACTTTAATCAGATTGCTCAAGTTGATTCAGTAAATTAAATTTTTATTTCAAGATTTTTTTTCAGTGATGATAGTGGGGGCTTATAGTTACAATATAGGACTATATAGGAGACTGTTACTTCACTTTAAGATAATCAAAAACAATTTGTACTGTAGGATACTATTACATTGCATGGTAGTTGTCTTGCCACTGCAGCATCTGTAATTTTGGGTATGATATAATTATTTTTAATTGTTATAGGGGCAACAATTAATGAGATCATGTGATGAGAAGTCAGATATTTTTTGACTTTACAGCTTAAAAGACAATATTCTTTAGGTAGCATTTACATAATTGGAATTGGAAAGAATTCCAGTGATTCTGTGCTGACAATTCAGTATCTTAGTGTGATATTTACATTTTATGAAATAATGTTAATACTTTGTTAGCCAAGGTTTTGGGCACCTGTTGTATATTCTGGTGTATGTTAGCAGCGTTTTATATTTCTTGAAATTATTAAGTGGAACTTCAGCTTCTTTAATTTCTTTACAAACAATCATGTATGTACACATTCTCGTGCTTTGTACATTTGACCAATAATGCTTGTAATTTTCCATGGTCTTTAGGAACAGTAGAACAATCTTCTATTGAATTAATATACAGGCACAGTACAGTACAGTTTGTGTGCAGTATACAATATGTATCATGTTTTAAAGTAATGTTATTTGATGACCCACTGTGATAGCACTAGAGGGTGGAACTGCCAAGTAATTTTCATACTGATTCATACCGTAATGTATTCAAGGAAATTGGTGATAAGCTTTCAAAATTTACCCTTTACTAGTTGTTTATAATGCTGATATGATATTTTGAAGATAAAGCAAGAAATGCAAGTGCGATCAGTGAGAATTATTTAAGAACATAGTTTCAACTCCAGTTTAACTTGTAGGCCATTTTTAGATAGTGTATATGAGACAGATCCTGCTTTTACTAGTTAGCCTCTAATGCAGTGATGCTGTTTGTAAAATTATCAGATGATATCACTTAAGCCAATAATTAGTTTTAAATTAGATTATGTCAATGAAACATAAAATATTACATTCATATACTTCAGATGAAAATGATTAATCATTGGATGTTTTTAATGTGCTTTAATAATGTTTAAGATCACATTTAGTGGTTTTAAGATGATGATATTTTCAGCATTGATTTGGACACAAAGAATCATGATAAGTGAAGACGTTATCTGATATTTTTCACAATTTTCATTTGCAATTGTTATCACTCTCAAAATGTCAGGATGTCATGTATGTTTTATGGTTATATACTGATAGATCATTATTTGATCAAATTGAAAATACCTTTCTTTTTGTATGAGTTAAAAGCTAGTGATGTCTTTATGTACCTTCAGTAGCCTGACTTTGTGAAGTTACAATGATGTTACTATTGTTACACTTTACTAGTTAAGAATTCTTTGAGAAGGGAACAAGGGATTGTACCTGAGATGGTTTTAGTAGACATTTTATCAAATATTACAATTTTGGTACCATACCACTGGAGTGAAATAGTCAATTCCATATTTTTGTTATTTTTAGAACTCAATAAATTATTATTGTAAAATAGTTTTAAAGTGGATGTGATAAAAATGTGTTTTAACACATTCAATTTAACTTTCATAAAGTAAAACACAATATAGTACAGTATTACAATAATGATGTATAATAAAAAATTCTTGTATAAAGAATCCAAATGTATAGGATACAGTAACATGTTATTAAAAGTGATGTACAGAGGTCTAAAGAAATTTAGAAAATTCATTCCAACATATTTGCCAGGTGTAATACAATCTAAAAAAAATTCTCTCTTTAACAGAATTTTACAGCCTCTTTTAAATATTTTCTACTTTTTTTCTTTTTTATTCTGTCATCTGTATTTGTTTTAGAAAGTAATTAAACTGATTATTTTCTAAAATGAACTTTATTTAGATACAGTAAACTGACATGTTATTTTTAGAATTAATGCTTGCAACTATTACCTGCAATATATTAAACATATAACTGACATGTTATGCTTTTTATTCCATTCCTAAATATACGCGATGTGACTTATACTTTCTATTTACTGTATTGTAAAAATTAGGTGACAAGAAATCAAACCTAGATAAATGAGAACTGTTAGACGTGTCCTAAATTTGCTCATGAAATAAATGCCTGTATTTAAATTTAACATCAACCTGTATACTGATTATTTCACAACAAATTACATACAGAAAGCGATGTATTAACACTATTTCCTTCAAACTGGTTTCATAAAGAATATTATCAAATAACTAAATTTTAAAAATATGAATATAATCCCCTTTACATAATAAAACTGGAGATGGTAGATAATTGATGCTAATGCATTCACTTTCCCTGTTCACCTTGAGTACTGCTGTTATAGAACAGGATATATTCTGAGAAAAGGTAACCTCAAAGATATGCATCATCAGAAATAGTTTTTCTCACATTTACCCCCCCCCCCCCCCACAATCCCTTGCCCATTGTTGTCGTGGGGGGGGGGGGGGCTTAGGAGACGGAGATCCAATGCAGGGGTCTCCCCTTCCTAGGTCCTCAGCCCTCGATTCAACTAATTTTGCATGGCCTTTTCTCCCTCCAGCTTTGTTTCCATCCCTTCTCCAAACCCTTCTACTATCTACTTCCTAAGGTGTAAGAGCCGTGCTGAAAGGATAAAAGGCTGACCTTGTGCCAGTCCTAAACAGCCTGCAGGTACCATGGGCACAGTATTCCCCTGATGTCTAGCCCTTACCCCCTTAAGGGGTACTGAGGGTTTTTTACTGTTTATCTCCCCTGCATAATCAAGGCTTCCCATGGCCAGTAATGAAGTAATACCCATATTAGAGGAAATGAGGCTTGCCCCTTTATCAAATAGCCCCACCAAATCAGACTCTACCAGCTCCCTGACCCCAGGCTCTCCTTTGACCACGACTGAACACTGAAACTACTACCCACTCCTGAATGCCTACTAGTGCATTACCCACCCGAGCCGAGACTCAATCTCCAGAAGACATTCCTACTCTACCAACTTCCTCAACTTCATCAGTCAGATCTGAAACTGAAGCTATTGCATTATCAAATCTAACTGATCACTCTGGCAACCCCATTCCTGCAGAACCTCATCCAACTCTTAATACTTGTACCGGAACTGTCTCTATCTCCCCGGAAAACTGCCCAGTCAATACCAAAGATTGGTCAGACTGTGGAGAAGACACTGAAATGCCTCAAAGACCAAGCCGTGAAATCAGTACATTGCTACACAATTCCTCCTAGGTCATCAAAAAAGAAAAGAAAAAAAGAGAAAAAAAACACCAACATTGCCAAAATTACTTTCATTACACATGACCTTCCAGTTCATATCTACATTGGTGGACAATCCCTCCCTGTTCGACCATACCAACCCCCTCCCCGTCAATGTCAAATCTATTGGCGATTTGGACATCCAGCCAAACACTGCCGTTCCTCAGACCGATGCCCCCTATGTTCCCAACCCGGTCATAACCGATCAAACTGCTTGCACAAACACGTACATGTGCTAACTGCGGCGGCCCCCATAATGTATTTTATAGAGGCTGTCCCACTTACAAGTTTGAGTCTGAGGTAGCAGCTCTCAGATACAAAGATGGTCTCACTCTACGTGAAGCCAGACAGAAGCACACCGACAAGGTTTCTCCCTAATCTAGTAATGTCACTCGCTCTGCCCCTCCCCCTCCACCTCAAAATGTTCCTACACATCCCCCTATACCTACCTACTTCCCCACTTCCACTTCTACAATCTACCTCCCCCAGTCAAAATCTTTTGACACTGTAAATCCAGACACTCCAGTCTTAACTACAGCCCCAACACCATCCCCTCTCCCTCCCCGCACTGCCCGCAGCAGACAGACGAAACGTTCCACCCCTTCTTCCCCTAATGCACACTGACCTTCACCTACCTTTACCTTCATTCCTCAGACACCAGTCTCCTCTTCCCCCCTCACAAGAGAACTTTTGTCTCACAAAACTCTCCAACCAACTCCACTGCAGAAACTGTGGAAGATATTCAAAACTATATGCTTGAGACACAAAATTCCACACCTGCTCCCTCTATACACGAAGTGACTGCCGATATCCATCCCCCTCCTGCTCATAATCCCCCTACACCCCTCCCTCTTACTCCCTCTCAACACAACCTAACCCCCTCAATTCAGCCTACTTCCGATATCCATCCTCCTGAGACTACCGATATCAACCCTCCT